TGCCCAGATAAAATTATTATTTTCGTTGTTTTTTTTTTTTTTTGTCAGTGGGGAGGCTTGAACTCAGGGTTTGAGTACTTTCCCTGAGCCTCTTTGTGCTCAAGGCTAGCATTCTACAACTTGAGCCACCGTGCCACTTCCAAATGATTATTTTTGTATTAAATTAAATGGTATTTTTCTTCTCTTTTTAAATTTTTAAGCTGCACAATAATTTCTAGTCTTTTAGCAATTATCCTCAAAACTATGGGTAGCATAGTTTACAAAGCAGATTAAATACCCAAATGCTACTCAATGCCATCTTCTTTTTCTTTAAATTTTACTTTGCTGCTTCTGGGGCAACATTAACTCTCTCTTGGCTTGCTTGTTCTCCCTTGACTGCTCTCCCTTGGCTCTACCAACCACTTGAGCCACTCCCAGCTCAACTTTATGCAAGTTAATTGGAGATGGAGTTTTGCATACTTCTTTTTAGCCTGAGTTGGCTTTGCATCTTAATCCTCTGCTCTGATTCCTGAATAACTAGGATTACAGGTGTGAGCTGCCAGTACCTGACCTTTTCCTAACTTCTACATCAATATAATTGTGTAATTTTTTTTTTTATTGTAAAGATACTATACAGAGGGTTACAGTTACATGAGTGAGGTAATGAGTACACTTCCTCTTGAACATTGTTACCCCCTCCATTGTTTTCCCCCTACCATCCCCCCCCTCCCTACCTTCCCCAAGGTTCTTTTTTTTTTTTTTGATTGTGATTAAGTGATTACATATAACTGTGTAATTTTATCCTCCTTTGGAAATTTAATTACTGTTTTAGTCAATGAGATGCTTTTGTTTAGCACAGAACTCTGGAGTCACACTGATTTCCTTCAGTTTATGAACGGCATTGTTGTGATGGCTGTCAGGCTCCCACTGTTGCTCTTGAGAAGCTGGCCCATGGGGGCCGGAGGGGAAGTGATGGCCTTCTGGGTTTCAATCTAGATGAAGGTTAGATGTTCTCTAGTTCCATATCACTTATCTTCTCGGGTCATTGTCCATCTTTTTTCTTTCTTTTTTTTTCAGGAGGGTATCAGTACTGGGGCTTGAACCAGGGCCTCAAGGAGGGGCTTTTTCTACTCTGACACTTAAGCCACTCCTCTAGGTAGGCTTGTTGGTGGTGGTAGTGGTTTTTTGCTGGTTAAAGTCTCCAGAAATACAGTACATCTTCTCATGATGAATTTTCACCACAGGATTTTTTTTTTTTTTTTGGTTGTTTGTGGGTCTTGAACACAGGGCCTGGGAGCTGTCCCTGAGCCTCTTTGTGTTCAAGGCTAGCACTCTACCACTGAGCCGCAGTGTGCCACTTCTGGTTTTTGAATAGTTAATTGGAGGTAAGAGTCTCATAGGGAATTTTCTGCCCAGGCTTGCTTCTAACCTCAATCCTCAGCTCTCAGCCTCTTGAGTAGCTAGGATTATAGGCATGAGCTACCAGTGCCAGCCACTAAAATATTTTCTTTCCCCACAAAAACCTCATATAATTCCCCATGTTTCTGGACCATTAAAAAAAAAAAAAAAAGACAGCATTAAAAACCAACTTGGAGGGGCTGGGAGGGTGGCTCGGTGGTAGAGTGCATGCCTTGCATGCCAGAGGTTCGATTCCTCAGCACCACATAAGCAAAAGGAAAAAAAAGCCTGAAGTAGTGCTGTGGCTCAAGTGGTAGAGTGCTAGCCTTGAGCTGAAGAGCTGAGGGACAGCGCCCAGGCCCAGAGTTCAGGCACCATGACTGGACCCCCCCCCAAAAAAAAAAAACCAACTTGGAGATCGCATACTCTCTGCTCATCATGCAGGATAAAGGCAGGAGAACTGAGGAACACTATTAATCAGTCCGCCTTGAGAAACTTAGAATCCATGAAAACTACAAGAAGAAATACAACATATGTATTTCCAAAGATTCTTTTCAATGTTCATTTCAGTTAAAACCTCCCCCTTATATAAAGTTGAGAAAAAAAAAGTTCTCAGACTATTAGCACACTGCTGGCATGCTGGGAGGAACCAAGCTGCTCTTAACTGTCCTGATCTGGAAGCATCCAGATTCTGGTTGGACCTCTGCCAGGACTTAATAGTATACAGTACCCTGATCTGGAAAAGAGAGCAGCATTAGCTTAGAGAAGGACATCAGCCTGCTGAGACCTGAACCAGAGATGAAATGTTTATGACACAAGATTGTCCACAACTGAATAAAGAAGTCAGAAGCCTCAGAACATGGTCTCCCAGTCTAAGGTGCCTGAGTGATAGATCTAGCAATAGTTAGGTGTTAACTTGCTGGATGATCACTTATCCTTCTCCAAAAGTTATGACTTGGGAGAAACCACTGGCCTGGCACACCTGACTTCAACCACTGGCCTGGCACACCTGACTTCCACCTTATACCCCACTAACTTCTGTGAGAAATGCCCAAGAGCAGGATCACAATAGCAGAGATGAGTGGCAGCCCTCCGCTTCTAGAGTCTACTCAGATTACAATGACCTGCCAGCCTGGCATAAAAACACTGCTTTGGGGAGAAATTGTCTTAATGACAGCTGCTGCCCTGGTCATCGTTTTCTGCTGGCCAGCTATCTCTGTCACTTCTTTCCACCCCAATTCATGTTGGAATCCTTTCCCCAGCAGATAAACCACCTGAAGCCAAAATGAGCTGCCACCAAATAAAAATGACCAAATCCAGGCAGTGCTCTCCATGAGAAAAGGCCTGTGGATAAGTCTCCAGTGATAAGCTTCCCCTCAAATATTCAAAAGCTATTTGGGAAATGATTAGAAGAATTTCCTTAGTAAAAGTTTTCAAATCATAATCAATAGTATGTCATTTGCAGAGAAATGGATGGACCTACAGCAAATCATGTTGAGCTCAGAGAAACAAATGTTCATGTTTTCTCTCATATGCAGAAGCTAGATCTAATGTACATTGGAACATGGTAAATTATACAGGACTTTAGACATTCACACACAGTGCTCTTAGGGAAGGATCATAAAGGGGCAATCAATGTCCATGTGCTTCTGATCATATAAAATATTTATCGGATGGAACTTCAGGAAATGGAAACAAGAGATTTTTTTTTGTTGCTGTTTTTTTTTTCTTTCTTTCCTTTTTTGCTGGTCCTGGGGCTTGAATTCAGGGTCTGGGTGCTGTTGCTCAGCCTCTTTGGGCTCAAAGCTAGTGTTCTACCACTTGTGCTAATCGTCACTTCCGGTTTTCCGGTGCTTATTATTGGAGATGAGAGTCTCAGACTTTCCTGCCCAGGCTGCCTTTGAACCCCAATCCTCAGATCTCAGCCTCCTGAGTAGCTAGAATTACAAGCATGAGCCACCAGGGCCTGGCTATGTTTCCTTTTCTTTCTGTCTTGTTTGTTAGTTTATCTGTCTTTAGAAGGGTAAGGGGAGGGCACAGAAATGGAGGGACAAAGGGAGAATAAATACAGCAATGGAACTCACTAGGTACTATGCTGAAAATGAATGATACAACTTGTGGGGAGGGATCAGAAGGAAAAACTGGGCAAGCAAGGGAAAAAGTGACATTCTCCAAAAGAAATGTGCCCATTACCTGGCTTATGTAACTGTAACCCCTCTGTATACCACACCTTTAGAATAACAATTTTAAAAAGGATAACAAAAAAAGAACATAATCACAGGTAAATGGAAATCACCACAAGCAGTACACAAGTTCTGTTTATTCATGCAACTACTCTCCTCGCCTCCTCTGTCCTAGATAGACCTTTCACCCTTAGTAAAGGAGGGAAATCTGCACAATCTGGGGGGGTGAAATGCCCTCCGCTCTGTCCCCCTCCCTGTCCTCCTCCCCCACTGCTTTGGGCTTTCAGCATGTCAGATGCATTATTTGTTGGGTTTGCATGACTGATGACACATGGCCTTCGTGAGAAAAGCCTGGCAATTTAGAACCCACCTACGAGTGCCTAGGAACTGAGAATGAAGATACGGAGAGAGTGGAAGGGCTGAGGAAGCACAGAAAACGGAATGTTCTGCTATGAAGTATTTAGTGGAGTTTTTGTCAAGGGGTGGGATGAATTTATTCTTTTAACAAAAATGTTCTCAACCAGGCGCCGGTGGCTCACGCCTGTCATCCCAGCCACTCAGGAGGCCGAGATCTGAGGTTCACGGTTCAAACCCAGCCCGGGCAGGAGAATCCGTGAGACTCTCATCTCCAATAAAAACCCACCAGAAAACCGGAAGTGGCGCTGTGGCTCAAGCAGCAGAGGTCAGGAGCAGCGCCCAAGCTCAGATTTCAAGCCCCACGACCGACTAATAATAACAATAATAACAATGATGATGATGTTTTCCTGGCCGGGCACCGGTGACCCATGCCTGCCATCCCAGCTAGTAAGCAGACGGATATCGGGAGGAGGGTGACCCTCAGCCCAGCCCAGGGTGTGCAAGAACCCCATCTCAACCAGTGACATAGGCAGGGTGGCAGGCATCCGTGATCCTCTCTATGTAGGAGGAGGAGCAGGTGGATGAGACCACAGACTCGGGCCAGTCGGGGGAAGAAACCTGAGTCTCTGAAAAACTAAAAAGTACAAGATGACCAGAGGCACGGTTCCGGTGGTAGAGCACCTACTACACAGCAAGTGTCAGGCCCTCGCATTCAACCCCCACAAGAGCAAGCAAATGAAAACACAACCACACAACACGCGGAGGGACGCCGGGCGCCGGCGCCCCGGGCCACGCGGGAGGCTGAGGTCGCCGGCCGCGGGGAGGCCGCGGGGGCCCGAGGGGCCCGGCGGCGACGGGGACGGGCCGCGGCTTCCCAGCCGGGCGCTGGGTCTCCGAGCGCGAGGAGAACGCGCACGGACGCAGGGACAACACTCGGAGCGAGCCTCACGGAAGTTTCTGGAGCCGGCGCCCGGCGAGCGTCCGCGTCAGCTGGAGCCCGGACGCCCGGCCGAGTCCCCGCGCGAGGCCCCGCCCCGGCCCGCGGCGCGGCCGTCCTCCAGGACGCGCGACTCCCCGTCTTACCCGGGCAGGCGCCGACTCCGCCATGGCTCCAGCCGCCTCTCAACGCCCGCTTCCTCCCGCCGGCCCGCGAGTCTCGCGCCGGTCCGCTAGATCGCCGGACCCGGAGGAAAGCCGCCGTCGCCGCCGTGTTGATACAAAGTGCATTCTGGGAGCGGTCCTTGCCCCCACCACCACCTTCAGCCCCGGGCAAGAGCGGCCGCCGCTCCCAAGTCTCGTCACGCGGTATTTGCCTCGCGCCACCGTGCGGCGGGAGGGTGAACAGCCGCTTGGAATTCCAAGTTGGAGTCTAGGGCAATCTAAGAGTGCTCAGTGCTCAAAGTGAAGCGCGCTGAGTGACAGGCCGACCCAGGCACCTTTCACGTGTCTTCTCTGTTGATAAATGCTATCAGGGATTCAACCATATATAAAACTCTGACTTTGCTCTAAAGAAAAAACACGTAACTTCCTTTGAGAAAAGAGTCTTCCAAATGGGAAGTGGTTTTCTTCCCAACGCTTGCCTCTTGTTTGGCTTTTTGGAAATTAGAAACATACTTTCAGTACGAATGTTGTTATGTCAAAGGCCAGGGCCAATCCAAGTTACCTATTATTTATGGTAATTACATGCCTTGGAAAATCCAAGATATCACTGATTGCATATAATGAATCCAGTCCTGGTGCTGTTAGACTCTGTTCTGAGTTCTGATTTGAAAAGCATGGCTTCACTGGGTGCCAGTGGCTCGTACCTGTAATCCTGGCAATGCAGAAGGCTGAGATCTGAGGATTGCAGTTCAAAGCCAGCCCGGGCAGGAAAGTCCATGAGACTCTTACCTCCAATGAACTACCAGAAAACCTGAAGTGGCGCTGTGGCTCAAGTGGTGCAGTACTCACCTTGAGCTGAAGAGCTGAGGGACAGTGCCCAGGCCCAGAGTTCAAGCCCCATGACCAACCAAAAAAAAAAAAATGTCCAGGCCTTGAGTTCAAGCTCCAGGACTGGTGGCAAAAGATGGAAGGAAGGAAGGAAGGAAGGAAGGAAGGAAGGAAGGAAGGAAGGAAGGAAGGAAGGAAGGAAGGAAGGAAGGAAGGAAGGAAGGAAGGAAGGATCATGATTATGGAAAAAGACATATCAAGACACTGCTAAATATCAAGGCTGCTAAACAATTCTGTCAGAGATCTGATTCCTTTATTGCATTTCTGAGCAGGCTTCCATGTAGCTTTGGAGAGAAAACATGTACGTTAGTCTGATATGACTGTCAAGTTTATCTCAAAATTGTTAAATTGACACTCTGGCTTACACATTGGGCTCTTTAGAGTCAGCATGATTCAGCATCCCTGAAGGTTGTGCCTGACCTCTGGAAGAGGGGTTAGATCACATTTCCTACCTTGGAAGTGGTGCTGTGGCTCAAGTGGTAGAGTGCTCACCTTGAGCTGAAGAGCTCAGGGACAGCGCCCAAGCCCAGAGTTCAAGCCCCACAATTGACCAAAAGAACAAAAAAATCAAGCCTGCCAGGATGGCAGCACCAAGCACTGAAGGCTTTGCAGAGATGGTGTAGGCTAGAAAGTCAGAGTGTGGCACCATCGGGGGCCTGGCCCAGCAATGCTGCCTACTAAATGTGTACTTACGGAGGCTTTAACTTTTGTTGTTGTGGTACTTGGGCTTGAACTCAGGGCCTGGGTGCTGTCCCTTAGCTTTTTTGCTCAAGGTTGGCACTCTACCACTTGAGCCCCAGCTCCATTTCTGGTTTTGGGGTGGATAATTAGGGAGTCTCATGGACTTTCCTGCTTGGGCTGGCTTCAAACGGCCATCCTCAGATTCAACCTTCTGAATAGCTAGGATTATAAGTATGCTGCTGGCACCCAGCTGAGGCATTAAGTTCTTGCTACTGCCATCCCATCATTATTGGACGATAATAATGGTTAATCTCATTGATTTGTGTGGATTAAATGAGTGAATTCAAGTCAAATTTAGGATGTCACAGAGTAAGATCTCGAGTGCTCATGGTTATTAGTACTCTTCTAGTCCGGCTCCTTTATGCAGTGATGTGTCTTTTGCTATCTTAGTGCTCCTACCTTCCCACTGAGACATGAAACCTTCATTGTAGGGGTGTTGACAGACTAGAATAAATAATTTATGGTAAGTGCTTCTGTTGATACGTTAGTGGGATATAGTTAAGTATTCACAAACAGGAAGTTTCTTGTTTCTGTTTTGCTTTGGCATTTCCAAGATCCAAGTCTAATGCTACAATGAATTTACCAACCTAAATGTCAGTTTGCATTTATCCTTTCCTTTCCCCATTGGAATTCAAATGTTGACAGCCACTTCTTGAAAAACTTGATTTCTTTTTCTGTGTGCCAGTATTGGGATTTGAACTCAGGACCTTGCACTCACTAGTTTTTTTGTTTTGTTTTTTGCTCAAGCCATACCTCCACTCCTAGCATTTTGTTAGTTAATTGAAGATAAGTCTCATAGATTCTTCTCTCCAGGATGACTTTGAACCCATCTTTTTTTTCTTTTCTTTTTCTTTCTTTCTTTTTTTTTTTTTTTTGGCTAATCCTGATGCCTGAATTCAGGGCTTGGGCACTGTCCCTGAGCTTCTTTTGCTCAAAGCTAGCACTCTACCACTTGAGCCACAGTGCCACTTCTAGCTTTTTCTTTGTATGCGGTACTGAGGAATCGAACCCAGGGCTTCAAGCATGCTAGGCAAGCATTCTACCACTGAGCCACATCCCCAGCCTCCCGAATTGATTTTTTGAACGCAGCTCCTCAGCTTTCTGTCTAATGTTATTGTGGCAATCCTCAGATACACATAACCTTTCTAATGGATTTGTTTTCATAAATACCTTTCTCTCCTATTAGATTTCAGGCCTGAGGAGGACAAGGACTGAGTCTTATACTTGTTTACTCACTACGTGTTTATGAAATATGAAAAATGATTCTAGACCCCGCCCTTTTCCCATCTCATCCTCTAAGAATTCTGACTCCTCACAAATTGTTAAGCAAGGAACTCAAGGACTGAGTTGAAATCCTCTTCCCCTTCCCTGAACCTCTCTCGCTGCCACTTCTAAAGAGCAGCATCTTTTGAGGCCTCTGCCTGTATCTAGTAGCCTGGTGGCAGTTGTAGAAAAGGGAAGTGACCAGACTCCTCTGTTGGAACTCTCTAGGATGCTAGGGTCAGAAAGTCCAGAAAGGATACAATGAGCTGAGGAAGCAAATCATTTGGCAAACTACACATAGAAGCTCTGAGCAGCGGGTACTGAGAGTCTAGGAGGAAACAAGTTTTACTCTTGTATGTCTTTTTTTTTTTCACTATTTTTTTTTTTTTACTCCATGCAACCATTTGTAAAACAGCCACTTTAAAAACAAAACAAAAATCAACACTTTTTTTCTGAGCAGGTATGGTAGAGCTTGCCTGTAATCCCAGCACTTGGGAGGGAGGCAGAGGCTGGAGGATCATACATAGTGTAGCTGAGGGCACTTGGTAAGGTGGGACCCACTAGACAAGGCTCCAGGGAATGGTAGTCTTGGCTCTCACTAGCTAAACCTCTTTGGGAATCAGCTTCCTGAAAGTAAAATCAAAGGGTTAGACTCAAGCTACGTGCTCAAGTATTTTGAACCCCTATTCCTTCCTCCCTCCCCCCCTCCCAGTAGTAGGGTTTGAACTCGGGGCCTGGGTGCTATCCCATAGCTTTTCCTACTTGGAACACACCTTCCCTCCAGCTTTTTGGTGGGTAATTGAAGATCTATCTCCTGCTCTGGTTGATTTTGAGCCGCGATCCTCAGATCTCAGCCTCCTGAGTAGCTAGGATTACAAGCATAAGCTCCAGGCTTAAATCTTCACTCCCAATAGTTATTTCTCCCTCTTCCTCACACTTCCAACAGCTAAAACAATGTGGATCTTACTTTTCACCATTTAGATTGCCTATGCTTTGGAGAAGGTGCAGTCTCCTTGCAACCATCCTCATGGCCAGAGGCCCCTTCCACTCCACCGAACCTTGTCTGACTCGCCTTCCTAAGACTGAACCCCTTCAAAGAGCCAAATGAAGAAAAGGAGGGGGAGGGGAAATCCCAGTGAGTTGAGGCTTTACTGTAGGAAGCCACACTGGAGAAGCCTCCAGCGTGGCGCACATGCAGTCGGCAATCTGGTTATCTTTTATTTAATTTCAAGAATTCCCTTTGCACGGCAAAAAAAAAGGGGGGGGGGTCTGAGGAGAGCGGGCGCAGCGGGCGGGTGAGCGCAGAGGCGGGGTGCTCCCCAGCCGGGAGAGAAGCGGGATCCACAGGAGACGCAAGAAAAGCCTTTTGGGGGGGACACAAACAAGGGTCGTGGGGCATGCCACCCCCACCCCGGTGCCTGGCCATGCAAAATGCGGAAATGGAGGCCGTGGGAGCCACGGAGCGATGCTCCAGCACGAGGGTCCTGCGGGCGCGTCCCGGGCGGGCGGCCGCGGGGAGTGGGGCTGGGTCCACGCGTCCGGGTGACAGATAGCACCAGTTGGGAGGCCCGAGGGCAGGAGAGGGCGAAGGCGGGCTCTAGCACCCACTCGCCCAGCCCACCGGGGCTGACTGATTCCTTGGCGGCCGCTCTGGCGGCAGAGGCCTGGTCCTCACCCTCAGCCCGGCAGACAGGGTGCGCCCTCGGGGCGAGTCCTGACCCAGGCCCCGGCGGGCTCTGCTGTGCAGTGAGAATCTATTGCTGCACTCGACGGAGGGACTGGTGGGAAGGGCAGGAGGGGGGAGTGGAGTGGGGGGGGGGGAGGAGCGGGCGGCGCCAGCCCAAGCACCAGGCTGTAGCCCATCCATTCCCCAATCCCAACGCCAGGCGGTGGCCCCTGTGGCTTCTGAAAGGGGGGCGGGGGGGGGGGCACAGAGGACATCCAAGGGGAGGACGGGGAGGAGAGAGACCAGGAAGGCCAGGTGAGGGTGGTCTCTCAGGCCAAGGAGGTAGGCAGTGTGTGTGTGGCCGGGACACTGCGCTGCGCCCGCGCCCGGGAGCGGCTCCGCCACGCCCCTGGTTCTCGTCCGATCTTGGGGGACACGATCACACCTGTGTCTCCCTTTCCTCAGTCACCACATCGGGCAGACCCTACCCCACCTCTCTGGGAGGGATAGGCTAAGAGTGAAGATAGATAACGGATAGAAAACA